GTGGGGGGGGTTAGGGTCTGGGAGGGCATGTGCCCCTGGATCTGCGCAGGGCGGGCCAGGCCAGGCTGCACTCCAGACGGGTGGCAGAAGGTGCTATGAGCAGGGGCTATGCCCTCCTGCCGCTCACCGGGCTTCCCTGTGCCTCCCAGACAAGTCGTGGCTTTGCCCTGGATAGGCGAACAGTGGCAGGGCATGGAGGTGGACGTGTGCACCCGGATTGGAGAGGGACCAGTGGCAAGGGCTATGGGGAATTTTATGGTGGCTGCAGCCCTCCCATATCCCCCGCTCTACTGTGCTCTGTGGGGTGGATGGAGCCAGGGCTGCGCTCCAGGCTGTGGCTGGGGCTAGCCACCCAGAACACAGCCCTGGGTCTGCCTGCCCCGCAGAGAGCAGCCCAGCAGTGGGAAGCTGGGCCTCGCCTTCCAGAGCACAGCCCGGCCCGGCCCAGCCCGCCCCATACAGATCCAGGGGCACATGCCTGCTCCCATGCCCTCCTGGCCCAGGGGCGCACAGTGGGGGGAGCCCCCTCCCCAAGTCCCACATGCCCCACCCCAGTTGGGCAACTTGTTGCAGCCCTAATCCCACCATCACTGTGGGGGCGTTGATCTGCCCTCCCTTAACACCTCCCTCCGCCCACCACAACAGACTTACCAGCTGGAGCCAGCTGTGTCCAGCGTGGTGAGGATTGCTGCCTGTTTAGTCTATGGCCAAATTTCTAAATTGGCGCCAAATCTTTTCCAAATCAATTCAGAGGCTTCTCATTCAATTCACACCTTTTAACTGGTCTCTCAGTTTGATTTGGATTCGGAGATTCGGCTGCCATATTGGGCTGAATCTCCTTCAAATTGAATTGGCTACCAAAGCTTTGCACAGCCATACTAAGCACCTCTAATAACATACCTTGAGAACAAGAGTGGCACTGCAATCCATTTCCATCTCAATGTCTTACTATGATGCCTTTCATTGTCGTAGGCAAACTTTACATTTTTGAAAACGGCTTTAATAATGCAAGATACCTTCAGAAATGATATCCGTGTGTAATGTGATTAATGAGGAGCACTGCCTCATTAAAACTTCTACCCCTTGAATGCAGAACGGAGCATGTATTTTCCTGGAATTTGCAAGGAAAGGGTTTTTCACTCAGTGCATAATGATAGACTATATAAACCTACGTGAGGTTTTGGGATGATTTGAAGAATGTCATCGCAGCCCGCTTCCTCCTGGTGTATTATAGCTACTTATTTATGATTCCTGCAAAATAGCATGGTAAAATACAGCTGCTTTTCTGGAGGTGGTAGTTTCTGCTCAAAACTTTGGCTTTTCTTGCAGTTGCTAAATGTGCAACCTTCCTGGGCTTCTAATTTTTCTCAGCTCAAGAGTTTTAGAAGGGAATCTAGTCACACACCCACATATGTCTGCAAGTACAACTCCACTATCAAGTATAAATATAATATGATCTTTGATTGTGTGGAGGGGTGTCAGCAATGGCTCCTTATAGTTGTATTTGAAATGAGACCCTAGCATCCTAACCTCAATTATCAGTTTTTGCTTATTAGCTGGGGGGAAAAAAGATGTCATGGAATTTTTAAGATTGCATTGAAAATGTTCCTTAGTAATGCAGCTACTTAAGGCTTAACTTTGGGGGTTGGGTGGGGTTGTTATTAAGAAAGCTCTAATAAATTGAAGTAGAATTGGGCCCTTCCCTGCATTCTGTGAGTCGGTGATTGTGGTGCAGAGAACATGGCCAGATATGAAAGCTAAATCTTTTCCATGACCTGGATCTGGTGGAAAAGGTGACACCCTTAATTTTGCCACTTTCACTTGCCTCTTCAATAAAAGGAGGGGAGGTTGCAAGCAAAAACATTAGTCTTAAACCAAAAACTAGTAAGTAGCTGAAACCTCAGTCATTCAGGCTGTTCCAGTCAGAAGGAAAAACTATCCATTTATAATGTACAAAGTTCTGTTTCCCTAAATACAACAGACTGAACACTATGGCTTTATTCACAGTACTGAACCACTTTTCCAATCAACGGTTAGGACAAACGCTGTTAGCTTTTATCAGGGCCACGTATCAAGTGTTTGGTCTGACTGTCTAGTACTTCCCTGCTGCTGCCTTCATCATCTTCTGTTCTATTTTGAGAGTCTTAGAATCACAGAATAATAGAAAATGAGGTTGGAAGGGACCTCAGGGGGTCATGTAGTCCAACCCCCTGCTCAAAGCAGGACCAGTCCCAACTAGATCATCCCAGGCAAAGCTTTGTCTAGCTGGATCTTAAAAACCTCCAACGATGGAGATTCCACCACCTCTCTGGTAACCTGTTCCAGTGCTTCACTACCCTTCTAGTGATGGCAGTCTTCCTAATATCTAACCTAAACTTCCCTTGCTGCAACGTGAGACCATTGCTTGTTCTGTCATCTGCCACCACTGGGAACAGTCCAGCTCCATCCTCTTTCGAACCCCGCTTCAGGTAGTTGAGGGCTGCTATTAAATCTTCTCTGTCTCCTCTTCTCTAAACAAAATAAGCCCTGTTCCCTCAGTCTTGCCTCAGAAGTCATGTCCTCCAGCCCCTCACCATTTCTGTTGCCCTCCACTGGACCCTCTCCAGTTTGTCCACATCCTTTTTGGGGGCCCCAAAACAGAACACAGTACTCCAGATGTGGCCTCACCAGTGCTGAATAGAGGGGACTGATCACTTCCCGTGACCTACTGGCAACACACCTACCAATGCAGCCCAGTATGCCCAGCCAGTCAGCCTGTCCTGGTGCATGGGATTCTTGTGTCCTAAGTGCAGGACTTTGCACTGGTCTGTGTTGAACCTCATGTGATTTGTTTTGGCCCAATCTTCAGGAGACATAGAAAGCTTCACAAAACAATACAGAGATAAACCCTTCCACTCATAGGTGCATGTCGTTTTTGGGCAGTGGCATGTATTATTTTAGCCTCCTAGTTCCACAAGTAAGTTCAGCTGTTTCTTACAACCATCCTAAATAAGAGGCAGCAATTACACCTTCTAGTTTCAATGAGGTTTAGCTCAACGCCTAACGAGTAAAGGCAGAGTCAACCCAACTATTCGTGTTGCTACCGGCAAATGAGTTCTCCGTCACTGTTCATGACCTGTGTTAGTCACAATGTGAGAGAGGCAGTCAGGAAGTAGAACATATTTTAAAGCACCCATTGTAAAGGAAACATTACAAGATTAGACTTGGTGTAAAACTGGCCAATTGAACATCTAATAATATTTTTTCTTATGTTCTAGTGCGGTGTTTACCTGGACAAATTTATTGGTTGTCGTAGTTGAGCTGGATGGATCAGAGCAAGAAGCCTTGGACCTGGTTCCATTAGTCACCAATGTGGTCCTGGAAGAACACTATCTAATTGTAGGGGTGGTGGTGGTGGTGGACATTGGTGTAATTCCTATCAACTCCCGTGGAGAGAAACAACGTATGCACCTACGAGATGGATTCTTGGCAGACCAGCTAGATCCCATCTATGTGGCCTACAACATGTAGTCTTGTATCTTAAGGCTTCCATGGACTTGACTATAGATGTATAAAATTTTTTGGTGTCCACTAAAAAATGTGCAGATAAGAGGGTGACACTCATCAGAATGGAACTGTTACTATTATGACTTTTCAAAGCAGTCATGATTGGCAGGAAATAAAATGTGAAATGTTTTCTTTTACCACTAAATTTTAGCACAGAAGGACTATGGGGTACTGCCCTTCAGTTAGTTGGAAAAGCCCATTTTAGATTTTTTTTGCTTATTGGATGATACTGCTTTCTGAGTAAATGTGGCTTTGTATTTTACGTTAAGTAAGCTGAAGTAGCTAATTTTTTTATTCTGCCCTCCAAGTGGATTCTTTTTAACAATTTACATACTATGACAAAGAATTGTTTTGTTCACTTGTCTTTAATGTGTCATAAAAAGCTGAAAAACACAGATCCGTTACTAATTTAAGCCATTTTAGATCCCACGTCTTAGAAAACTACATAGAGGTACGAGGAAACTACCCAAAATAGCACCTTCCAATTAGAGGTTTAGCAGCTTTCTCTGTCAGAGAGGCAGAAAGCACAAAGGCTAAAGAGCCTTTGATGTTAGTGTTAGAATGGAAGAAATTTATAAATAAGGTGTATTTCGGCAAAGAACTTGCAAATATCTTTGTACTAAACTAAAAAGATAAAATAAGTTAACTACTTCTTCTGTAATTATGTACAAAACGTTTAATTTATTTTGATCTCTTTAGAAGTATAAAAGAGAAAAAAACATTCAAGAATATTAAACTCTTGTAATGTTTGCTAATATAAAAAAGTGTTGTATTATCTTGAGTGGATAGTATCACATCAAATATATATATATGAAATATAAATTCACTAATGACAAAAGATTTTAAAGTTTAAAATGCAGTACTTGTCACTTGCATGGTGTCTCCCACTGTAGATAATCAAATGTTACTCACAAATTTTTTGAGAGAAAGCAATCCTGGATTGCTAAGTATCCCTGTCTAAAAAGTCCTCTAGATACCAGCAAGTGGAATTATTGCTGCCTTTAAGGCAGTGTGATGAATTTAAGACTAAAAATGCACTACAACAGTTTTTTTTCTTTGCCGTGGAGGCAACAATAAATATTTGTGCTGGCATGTGCATACACTTGTTAGACTTTAGAAAAGGCAGGTTGAAGAATAGCACTGTTTTCTAGCTGCATAACTTTGTTGCACAATTTTTTTCATCATTTCAGTTGATGTTTTTGTTGTGATAAGGAAAAGTTTTGGTGGTTGTTTGCACAGAGTTATCAATATGC